TTTTTCGGGAAATTACCCGGTTTCTAGGGATAGATTAACCAAATATGTTAATGGCTCTACCATAACATCTGCATATAACATTTCTTCAGTGAATTATTGCTATAAGCATCATCTCCAGAAGAATCCAATCTCTTCAAATTTGTTATTATGCTTGAGATATCTTGTTCTGTGGCTGGCCGAAAAAAGAAGCTCTGTAGACTGTTTACATTGAAAGGTACAAGCTTGGGCATATTATCTCCTCTCACGTTTTTTGAGACCTGTGCGAAGTGATTGTTGAATTTGTCAGCAATTTGACTAGATCCGCTGATCAGATTATTATTCACACTTAACTCCAGCTTATTTCTATAAGACTTGATGCTTTTCCAAACAGTTCTTGATTTATTTTTAGAACTGATAATCAGATCTCGGTGGTGGAGCTTTTTTGCTTCATTTAATAAGTTGCTGTACAGTTTTTTGTAGTCATTATAATATTTTTTAGATTGGTCATCTACAATTAAATGATATAATTATGTAAGTTTTCGGGCTGAAACTATGAGACCCTTGGTAATCCAAGGCTCCCTAGGTTTTCCGTGTGAATGCCTTATTTTCAAGGGAAAAACCACTTCAAAGCAATCATTGAAAATATTCAAAAACGTTCCAAATTTATCATTTGCGTCACCGAATGAATTGTGAATAGATTGTCAATCTTCTATACTCAGAAGCTGGTTGAAATAATTCTATATTTTCCTGATGATGAATTTGCCTATACATGGTGGGGGCTTTTTTATCAGGGCTTTTTGGTGGCGGCCCTGTATATTCAGTAACTGAGCAAAGAGGTCACTAATATTGGCGTTATTTACCGAGCTTCGGTATAATTCCAAATCGAAGTGGACGCATATGTTATCAATGCAACTTATTCATTCTAGTGGGTGAATTGACTGTTGGCCGACTGGTGTCCCAAGCAAATCCAGAAGAGAACTTAAATTGACACTGCGATCTAAAAAGTTGTCAAAATCACCATAAATTACCAATTTATAATCGCTTAATTTGCGTTCTATCTTTCTATCATTGTATTAGCTGTAGAATCGAAGAGTTGTAATAATGCGTATGAGATTCTTGATGGAAAGTATGAATAATATGTTTGAAGAAGAACTGATTCAGAGATATTTTGTTTCAAGTTCCTTATCAAATATGTATATATATTTTGCTAATGAACCGAGAACATGGATTACGTGACTTCCCCACGACAAGTGTTTATCAATCTAAACTATATAAGTATGTATTGGCGTCGGGCTGACTCAGGCTAAGAATGATCATTTGAGACTTCGTTACGTTGATGGTCAACTTATTAATGGCTACCCAGTTTGCTGGATTATTTTTAAAAGCCTCATAGTTAGATATCAATGAAGTTAAAGAAACATTGTTATTCAGCAAGGGTATTATATATATAGCTAGTCATATCGTTTACGATAATTAAAAATAAATAGGTCCTAATACTGAACCTTGCGGTACTCCGTTGGCAGTGAGTAACTGTGAGGATGATGAACCCTCAAAGAAAAAATGGCGTCAAGTAGGTTGACCCAGCACTTCCTACACAACGCCGTCATCAGTTCATAAAGGATTACGTTCAGCCAAATTCAAGTCCTCAGGGAAAAAGGTCGGTTACGAACATGTACAACAGAGAAATTAGACATAACAAGTCAGTCAAACAGGCTTATACAATTAGCCCATAGACATTCTTTCTCTGTCTTACCGGAAGTTACTGTTCATCTTCAGGTTTCGGGCAGCAGCGGTGGCCGCAGTAGTAGACTCTCCGGTCTCCTGATCAGTCACCGTGCGCTGTGCGGGTTCGAGTCCCGTCCCAGGAGAAATTTGTCTCTTGGCTATGGCTGTTGTGATTGTCCGTAGGTGGTAGACGGTCTCTGACTGTCGAACGTGGAGGTACCACCCGGCGGATCTCGTAGGCGGAGCCAGAATGTGTGCATGTTGCATGCGCACGTGTTCCCTCGCCAGAGTCCGTGTGGCGTCCCCCTTTCCCCTGTATCCCCCTATAGCCCCACGGTGCCCAATGGGTGTTTAGGCCTTAGGCCTTCGTGGTAGTTGGGGTATAAAAAAAAATCTGGCAACGGTGTCCCTTTCCACATCTGCGTGGCAGTTTTAAAGGCAAATATACGAGAAAGAAGAATCAAATCAAAACATTTTGATGTCCCCTCCCAGCCCCTACAAGGGTCTTCGAAATCTCAAAAATCGAAGTTTGAGCCGCCACTGGACTGATTTTTAGAAACTGCAAAGCTTCATCCTTGGCATAATAGTAATCTTGTGTAAAAATTCCATCCAAATCAGAGTGGTACGTCCCAAGTTACAGGCGATCCAAGGATTAGCGGATAGACAGACTGACCGTCAGACAGACATACCGACAAACCGACAGAGAGACAGACAGACGGACGGAAATGAGTGACATGGTTTTTCGTGTTGTCCATGTCATGTAACATCCAAATACCATAATATCTAATTTTCGATTTTTCTGCGGTTACAATATGTCCTACTACGTAGTCTGGTCGCGCAGGAAGTAAAAACATCGATTTTTGAAGAATTCTATACGTATTTTTTTGCTTTTAGCTTCGCCGCCACGGGTGATATTTTCAAAACTCATGAACTTTTTGGTCCTTGGAATGGTAGTCATCATGTGTAAAAATTTCATATTAATATCAAGTATCAGCAGTGCTTCCCGTATAATAGGGGGGTCAAGAATTCTTGGGCTGACGACAGACTGAAGGATGTTTTCTTAGGTCAGTTATACTGCCGGTCGATATTTCCTACACATTAATTTTGAAAAGCTGTTTCCTTGTGGTTTATGCTGCCTACATATATATTATTTTATTGTGAAAGCAGGGCCGAAACATAATAGGGAGTAAAAAATGGGAAGAAGGGTTTGGTGTTGCCTAACTATCGGCGAAGTTGACCTGTGACTCAACACCCCGCCTTAAAGACACACAAATCACACACCGAAGCCATTATGGCACCAAGTCCCTGTTGCCATTTATGATCCATGTGGTGCTCCTGCTCTGCAATACTCATGAAAACACCCATACCTACATAAAATTATAAGTGTTTCATTTAAAATTTGGTAGATCGCTACAAATGTAACCAGTATATCTTATAAGGACGACAGACTGTTATCATCCGCACTATTTATATGAAGTATCTAATTAGAATGTGAGCAAATCATTAATATTAAGTTGATTCGCACATATGGACTATCATATCAGATTATTTGTGTGCGAGCTCTACTGAATCAATTCTATATATTTCTTTTGGATTCTAGGGATTGTCCTTGTCATAAAATAGTAATAATGGGGTGGCGCGATACTATTTGACAGCCTGCAACAAGTTCTCTTTACGAAGTATTGCGGAAAAGGGTCAATTGATCCTAAATAGACGAAAGTTCCAGTGATTAAAATATAGACATTATTGAGCAGAAATGCTGTTTAAATAAATAATTGTTGAAAAACAAAATTTTTTAACTTGGAGTATATTGAAAAATGACATTTTGTCGTTTCTTTGACATTTTATAGGTTTTTTGTGACATAACTTAGTATTTTCTACACGATGACAACTCAGCACTAGCTGTTGTTCATGTGTTATGAACTTGTTTTGTAGCTGTACGTGTTGCCTAAACGTCATGATGCTTCATCTATCAATGTTTGGCTCTGATGTGATGTAGCATTTGACTCTAAGCGCCATATCGTCAATCGAACCTATAATTATAGGACGCCTTTATGACCTCCTTGATTCTCATAGTCTTTTCACTCCTTCAGAAAGGCTGGGATATCTCTAGATTGCTACTGTTCCGTATCAGCATCAGCGCTCTCCTACTGTGTTGGTGTGTTTCATTTTGAATGATAGGAAATTCCAGGCTGATATAAAAGATGCTATAAATCAAAATCATCAACAATTTGATGCAAATAGTTATTTGTAACATAACCTCATAATAGAGCGCTGACACGGAACAGTAGGAAACTATGAAAATCAAGGAAGCGATAAACGTGTCCTATAATTGTAGGAACGACTGATGATTTAACCCTAAGCTGTGAGTTTTATACTATAGCTGGACGGAAACTGCAGTGGATATTGAGGATTTGTGTGCTAATAATCTGTGTTGATAATAATAATTCCATTGGATTCTTGTCTCAGATACACTTACTTGAGATGTATTCAGAGCTAGAAATTAGTTGAGCATCCACACTTTCTTATTCATTCTGGAAATTACATGTGCAAATTTGCTGAGTTTCAAAAATGAGAAAGATATGAAAAGAAAATCCCTGGTTGGTAAAGTAATTAACTTTATGTGGTATCTGACATTTTATACTTACATTCTGTCATGTTCCCGTATTATTCACTTTATGCTGTCGAATCAACAGTAATTACACATAACGCGGGTGCGGTGGTGATTTCCCGAAATTAAGCTTTCGACAAGACAAAAAAAAAAACGAGAAAAATCGTAATTTATAACTTTGAACATAACACGTCTTCAGAAAGGGCAGCATATAAATAACCCGTTGGGCCCAGCTAATAGGTATATGTACTTTATTGGCAGCATATTCAGTAATAATTTTGTCACATACCAAATATCACTGATTTTATACACATGCAGACCAATACACATAATCATCCAGATGCTATCCTGCTACTCAACCAACTTTCTTTCTTTCACATCTTCTCAGAGATAAACATTACTTGGTTTTCTGCAACCAACAATGATCGTTTTGTGTCGTTGAGTGATCCCTCCATAGATGGACGCTTTTTATGACGCTCACAGCGATCATAGCTAGCAAATGTGAAATGAACTATTTGCACACTAGTGCCTAGTCTGCAAGATGACATTTTTTCGGTTTTCTGACGTTTTTTAGGTTTTTTTACATAATACCCCTGCGGAGTAGAATTAGTGAGATAAGGTGGGCATGGTTCCCTTCCCTGGAGAATGATCCGAAATTCTAATAGCTGTTGACATCTGTCAAATAAGTTTGTGCATGCTTCCACTTTGCCAGAATAATGTGTTCTTCATGGGTTCTTCATTTCGTTAAACGTGCGATCACATAGTTTTCTTCATTTTTAGAGGTGACGCTGATCGGTGACGATGATACTTCCGCAAGTTTTTTTACCGATAATGACTCGGGAAGCGACTTTTCGATCAGCGCTCAGAAATACAAGTCCCCGAAAGGTAAGAGAAGTGCGCTTAGTTATTCTGCTCCCTCATTTCAGGAATTAACCTCCTGACGCTGTTATCAGTTCATTAAGTATTATTATTATAAGAAAAAAGTCAGCTACGAATATGTATAATACCACGATGTGATATAAAAATTTCCTCCCTGCCCTTACTGAAAGTATCGAGCATTTAGAAATGTCAGTCATGTTATGCTGGCCAGCTCGAGCAATGTAGCGGCTGAGATATTGGGCGGTAGTCGCACACAGGATTTGGTAGGCACTATGGTATTTTCGTAGCGTACGGCAAGTGCGACATATATGCGACAAGTCCGTCCTATATAAATCCAAGGTGCGTAGAATTTGCGGGCTTGCCAGCGTATGAATATAATACCGACAAAACATTGAGATATACTCTCCCCAACCCAATATGAGGGACTTTTTTTGTTTTTGCCGTATTCTCCGCCATCATGGGACTGGGAAAATCGTTCTAGGTATAGTAGTAACCTTGTGTGAAAATTTCATCCAAACCCACGCAGTACCTGCCAAGGGCCAAAAAGACGTAGGTTTTCTCAGAACCATGAAAAAAAATCAGATTGCAGCGATGAGCGTGTCCCTACACGGTAGCCTCATTTCTTCAGAGACCTCATGTACAACTGCTTGTCAACAATGTTTGATACGTAAGTTTACGGGGTGACAATGAAAATTGAGGAAACAATATCAGAAGGTTATAAATCCCAAAACAGTCCTTATTTTATCAGGGTTCCTTAATATCTTTTAACTACATTGCATTTGTATATGATAAAGCAACTATCTAGAAGTATTTTATAGAAAAAATGAACAAAGTATAACCTTATTTTTACATGCAGCTAAAGACCACAGATGAAAAGGTTCCTCGTATGTCGCTCCTCCATTTGCTATCTGCTTTTATAACTCACTCACATCTTCTACCAAAGATGCGATATTTATAACCCCGTGGTGCGCGGCAAGTGCGACCGACAGTCTACCACTGAGAATATTTTGAAGTTTTAACGGCAAATGTATGGGGTAATTTAAGAGGTGTTAAGTATGTCTAGGGACATAGACTCATCGGGGCTGGGATTACAGCAACCAACTCCTAAAACTCCCCACGATCCAGTTATTTACCCATTTAAAAAAAGTTTGTACGATTTTAATTTTTTCGTTTTTGGCCTTTTTTACCGCCGACTCTGGACCGAATCTCACAAACCCAAAGCTTTTTCTTCCTTAGCACACATAGTAGCAATCTTGTGTAATAATTTCATCCAAATCCGAGCAGCACTTTCAAAGTTATAGATAGGCCAAGGATTAACGGACACACAAACAAACATACCAAGGGAAATGATCTTTCGTGATGTGCTTGTCATACATTATCAAAAAAATATGGCGTTGGTAAAAAAAATAACAAGATCATTATTACTTACAGAGAAGTGGGAATCTGGCAAGTGTTTTGAAAATGAAGGCATACTACTACCAGTTGAACACAATTAGATACGCATGATAAGGATATGCTACTCTCTTTCATTTAAATACCCAAGCGTCAGATCCCCAAGTTTGATAAAAAAATGAACAGGCCACTTTCACTGCCTTCTGTTCTTACTTATCGTGACTAAATGCTTGATTGTGTGACTGATTCACGGATTCAAAAAACAGAATATTTCCTATACTGCTAATGGATCTATCTATGTTTATCATTATTTTATTAATAATAATATTCTGGGACAGCAAAGGGTTTCAAAATATGAAAGCCTGTACTTCTCAATTTCGATGTACACTGACAGCACCTAGGGAAATGAGTGACAAGGTTTTTCGTGATGCACAAGTCATATAACTTCCAAGAACATAATATCTCATCTTCGAAATTTTTCCCGATTACAATACTTTCTCGTTAGTGGGCGTAGGAAGAAAAAAAATCAGTTTCACACTGGATAAAAATATATAAAAATGTTCATCCTCCATATCCAATATTCGCTCTGAGGGTTGATTTGAGTTCACTACACCTACGTAATTTTGCGCTTAAATTCACGTTTAACCAAATATAAACAAACAAAATCACTTGGCGATAGTATGAATCTTCGAACGCAAATTGAAAGGCTATAAAGTTTTCCGATTAAAATTTGTTGGTTGAAAGCACTGAATGTCATTGACGCCGCGAAACCCCGTCGCAAGGTGAGTTTACCTTTCAACCTTGCACTTTGCAGATAAAGTCGTTCAAGCAGCAACAGGATTAGAAGGCGTCTCGATTTTGTTCGGTTTGTTTACTACGCGATTGCCTCTATCTACGAATATGGTGCCAGGATTCAGAAAAAATATACAATGTAGTTTATTCGTTTGCCATGTACTGATGTCTGAGTGGAAAGTGTCGATTAAGGGAGTTGTTCGTAAAAGTTGGAGTGCAACGTAGACGCAGTTCTAAGCAGATGGCGTTACCCTAGCTGCAGATGAGATTGTCCGCAAGAATATTACGGGACAAATCTTCAAACAGGCAATACTGACTCTAAAATGGTATAAACTCTCAAAAAAATCAGTATTAGATTGCCATTTTAGCACTAGTGTAGTGTAACCCTCCACCAGGTTCAACTGTTGCTTGGATAAAGGGTCAACATCACAGCAGATTGACTGTCAAAAAAGATTTCTGAAACTGGAGTTCTGGGTCGTGAGCCTGACTACATTTTGGCCGTCCGAGCCATAGCAACTAGTGATTCGTTTAGATGTACTTTCTTCTCTATGAATTATTTCATAGATAACGCAAGTCGTTGCAAGTTGCTACTTGTCACACGTCAGGCGAAACCATTGCTTTATTGTGACAACAATTTGTTGAGCTACAAATTTGTCGTTCAGATCAATAAATTGGCTGTTGTGAGATAACACATCCAGACTTATCATTTTGGGGCTATGTAAGTAAAAAATTTCAGATGCATAAACCGAGTACGACTGGGCAATCATAGAATACTTCTTAAAATACATAGATGCGTCAACGAAAATTAGAAGACTTAACCATAGTATAATATAAAATAATTACAATGAGTGCTTCTTTTGTTCGATTATAAATTAACCTTAAAAGGTAATTGTTATTAGTTTTTTGGCTTTGCAAACAGTACCTCTAAATGAATATTTCATTATTTTTTTTTTCAAAGTTTTCAAAGTTTATTCAAATTCAAAAACCAATATAACATACAAATTAAAAACAACCTTCAGTACAATTTAAATAAAAAACAGTTTCAAAAATACATGAGCTTGTATGATCTTGCTACCCTGAATAACCAAAATTGCAACAGAAATCTAAGCAAAGATACTAGCATCAGATCTAGAACCAGCAAGTAACGGTATATGAATTGTGAAAATTCTGTATACTTTCGTAAAGGGTAAATGTTTGAATCTTGTCGTCACAAATCCTAAATTACGTGTCTGAATAAACAAATCTAAAATTCATAGCAATAGTACAGAAGTATACTAAAAACACTCAGAAGTATAAATATAGACTACATAAAATATGAATATCTGAAATATGATAATATAGGGATATTTCGAGTAAGGTCAAACTATGTTGTTTAAACAATAAATATTTTGCGTAAAGGTTAAGCAGAGAAACAAGAGTACTACAATTTACTACAAAAGAATAGACACCTAAGCTATAAGCTTGTGTGTGTCATATAATATACAAATTCAATGCATGGCTAATGGTCAGAAAGTATATTATGAGCAAATGTATATAAAAAAAGAAATTAAAAACATTAGATAGAAACGAAATGACTTAGTTGAGTCAAGCTACAGTCGATGCAAGCATGTCAAAGTTATTTAAGATGAACTTCTTAATTCTTTTTTTTGAAACTATACTTCGAAAGGATTTTATATTCTACGCCATGGCGGTCCGTATGGACCGCTTTGTATTTAATTTATTTCCATGGTGACTCCAGCCAGAGGTCCATATTTAAATTCATCGCTGTGGCTTGTATGGATTATATCCATATGCCAGATTTTTGGTGTATTTTTGTTTTAAATAGAGTTATTCAATTTTTTTTATTCCCATCATTTATTTCCTACTGAATCTACCCAACAACTCTGTCAAAAACAAACAAGATTCCAGTGAAAATGCATATATACAGGTATGTAAAATAAGTTATATAGGGATACAAAATATAAGATAATTTCATTTATTTATGACTTGTTCCGAAACAGTCAAGGCAAAAGTGGGGATTTCCTTCACAACTGTCACAATATGTAGTAACTTTTGGAATTTTATTTTTTGGTATTTCAGCCCTTATTTTTTACTATAATATCCTTTACAATACCATCTGACTTCATGTGATTTTTCTTCTTTTTTTTCAGTACATCAATGGTCTAATTCTAATACCCCGTAACTGTATGGATCGGTATTCTTCAGGAGAGGGTTTTTTATTTTGTAAGGTGCTAAATATGATTCAATATTATAATAGGTAACACTTAACGCTAAACAAAACCGTTATTAACTTAGTAGGATAAAAATAAACGTACAACTGAATGGCCCGAAAAAATAAAATTGTGACGCGAAAAGTAACATTTGAATTTTTTGCAGATACGGAGTATTAGAATTAGACCACCGACATGTCGTTCACGTCTTGTGTCAGCTTTTGACGTAGACGGTAGATTATACGTAGTCATGCCATAAGTTCTGTCCCTCGTTTTCAAACAAGTGTAGACCTGTTAATACTTGTCCGATTGTTTACATTGTGGTGTCAGTTGATTAAGCGCTTTTCGGGTAATTACATATACCTCAGTTTGTATTGATCTCTCGAAGCATAACGATGGAGTGGGGCAAGGCAGAGAACCGTATTGCAGTGATAGCTTTACATAAGTGTAATCACAGTGCTAGTCAGATTTTTGAACTCTTACGCGGCCTTCAAATATCGCGTAAATTTGTGTCTAGGACCATTCAGCGGTACAATGAGACGTCCTCTGTTGATGACAGGCCAAGAAGCGGAAGACCTCGTCAAGTAAGGACTCCAGCAGCCATCAAAGCCG